AAACCCACAACAACAATAATGGGGCATATCTACCTTGTCATAATTGTCTGTCTGTCTGGGCGCACATCGAACAAAATTTTTGTTATCTGGGGTTCAAATCCCATGTCCAACATCTTGTCTGCTTCATCTAAAACCTGCATTCACAATGAAGGTCGTGGCCAATTAGATATGGAAAGCAGCTAATATGTACATTTTCCTTAAGAATATAACAATCATTTCCCCCTTCTTTCTCCGGGGATCAAAATAATTAAAGGACTTATAAAGAACATAGACTTTGATAGTAGCTTCTAATGTCTCTAACGAAGATTCTTTTTTTAGGTACTGAGACTTGAACTCAGGACCTTGTGCTTGCCAGGCAGGTACTTGTGCCGCTGAGCTATATTTCCAGCCCCTAATGATTTTTACATGTCTAAAAACATCCAAGTAGATCTGAATTTCTCTGTACTTATTTACATTTCCCGATCTTTACATTAACATGCTAAAGGGAATATGAAACATAACTCGAGACTAAAATCACTGTGAAAGGCCATACTAAAAAACTTCACCAGAGTTGAAACTTCCCAGCATTCCAAACCCCTACCCCATGATTACCAAGTAGGTTATACTTCTCAGGCAGACAAAATTATTCATTTGCAGGTCATTCAGTCTTCCAGGGGTCGCAATGATGATGTCTACACCTTTTGAAACATCTTGTATTTGTCCACTTCTGTCTCCACCACCATATATACAGACACTTAGGAAAATCCAGAGGTTCCCGTTTAGACAAAGAATATCCCATCCTAACTGAAAATCTCAAACTAAGCATTCTGGATAGGTAAGATGAAATAAAAGAGTAACAGGTGTGTGTAGCTGTATCTGTCCTTTTCTGAGAAACACCAGAGTCCACCAACCCACGGTGGTGTTCCCTAAAGAACCATTTTTCTGGCATTAGTTGACCTACTATACGAGGCCACTGCTGATTGCATCAGCGGTGGGCTAAACATCTGGCCTCTACTAAACCATTCAGATTTTATTTTACTTATATATTTTTTGAGACAGGGTCTCGCTATGTGGTTCCAGCTGCTCCTGAACTCACTATGCAGGCTAGGCTGACCTTGAACTCGCAGCGATCCTCCTGCCTCAGCCTCCCAAGTGCTGGAATTATAGGTGTACGCCACCACGCCCAGCTCATTCAGATTTTAAGTATGTGAAAATAATGAAGAGGACTTGAACTGAAACATCACATGGTATCCCAGTATGTACAATTTACATTATACATATCAGTTAAAAATCAACTTATGTAGATTTAATTTTTTTTT